GATTTTATGGCAGGGGTCCGATGTTACCCCACACTTCCGACTGTGAATTTCATGTAGGCAAGGAGGTGTCTTTTTTCTTCTTAAGTTTCTCCAAGATATAGTCCTTTACCTATTAATTATGCATCTTCTTTACAGTGATTTGTTTTTATATTTATTTTTGAGACAGAGAGGGAGAGAGAGAGCGCGAGCGAGCGAGAGCACACGAGTGGGGGAGGGGCAGAGAGAAAGGGGAGACAAGAGGATCCCAAGCGGCTCTGCGCTGACAGCAGAGAGCCCCCCTTGTGGGGCTCGAACTCCCAAACCGTGAAATCAAGCCCTGAGCCAAAGAGGGACGCTCAACCGACTGAGGCACCGAGGCGCCCCAGGGAGGTGTCTTTTATCCTTGGTCTCCTGATGAATTAAATCCAACTGCCTTCAGCAGAGGTAGCCCGGACAGGCTTCGAGGCCTCAGGGAGCGGAAACACCCTGCGGTTCAGTGGCTCCCGCGCTGGCCCAGGTGCGCACGGTCGGCGCGCCGCGGGGCCTCCAGATGGCAGGGGTGTCGTGGCCGGGCTGCATTTGATGCGCCTCGGTGCGCGAACGCGCGGCCCGCGCCAACGGACTCCTCCCGTCCTAGCGCTGCAATCGCCCACACGTGACCGGGGCCGCCTCCTTGCCTTCCGCAGGCCCTTCCCGGATCCATGCCCGGGCCGCCCCTCTCCGCCCTCTGGGGCGGGGCTGGGAGGTGCCACCGCGGGAGCCACTGGCTGAACACTGCACGGAGGTGCGGGCCAGGGGGCGCTCCCTGGTGAGAAAGACCCCCCACACACACCCCCACCCCTAGCGACGCCCAGGACCCTTGTAATAATTACAGCAGCCGGTGAGGCCACCTGCCTCACGACCTAAGTGGCCTCCCAGCTTCAGTCCCTGCCCCCTATAGTCTCTTCCCCCCTCAGCAGCCAAGGAAGACTTTTAAAAACTGTAAACCACATTGGGGCACCTGGGTGGCTCAGATGGTTAAGCGAGGGACTTCAGCCCAGGTCATGATCTCATGGTTTGTGGGTTCAAGCC